GAACATGAGGTCTGAACCCGCACCTGTAAAGTGTGAAAGTACAAAGCAAAGTACTAATGCATTTTATCAATGTATCATCCTAATTCAGCTAGTCTATATTTCACCATTTCTCTCTCTACACTGCTGACCCAAAAAAGACTTCTAAATCAGCTCTGTCTTCGTTCTAGCATTCAGTGTAATGGATATGATATCGCACGGTGGAAGCCTCGGCACATGCCCCATGCAACGTATTCCCTGTTCTTTCAATTCATTCACTGAGGTAGATGATGCAACGAGTACGGATTCTGGCACTGTATGCTGTCAATAAATCGTGTCCATCAGCATGTGAAAGTGCGAAGCGAACTATTACGCAATTACCTTCATCCGCCCTTGAATTCCCTCCTGTACAAGAATCACGCACAGAAACGTGTCATAACTTGAAAAAGCTTCAGAAGCAACGGCTAACGCTACGCTCAATGAACCTGCTATGGCATCATAATGCATGGAATGAAATTCATCGAAGAACTTCATGAATCAATGAAGCGCTGCGGCACAAACATTTAGTATAAAATTATATAAGATGCAGAACGTTGTTTGAGTGTAAAACAGCTCAACAAACCGTTTCACAAATGTATGCATATTGCGGCTATTACAACTCTGGTTCTTTGCCGAACCTCATTTACAATATTAGAGAACAGACTACGAGGATCAAAGTCTTGAATCATGGACTAAATGTAGGATTTTATTTCCCTTATTAGCAAAAGTTCGGCATGTGTCATTCGGAGTTAATGAGGCACATGTAAGACAGACAAAAGCACGTAAGCATGGCTCTGAGACAAATTTGCATCACTTATTGACAACAATGATCCTTCGATTTGAAGAATACTTCTCAACGGTTGATTGTGACTGGCAAAACAACATAATTCTTGACTCTTACGCGTCTAAATGTCAGGCGTGCAATAGAGAGGCAAATGGGCGAGACAGTTTCTTCCCTTCTTGGTTTTGAGTCTTTATCCTCATTCAAGATTCCACCTCTCAGGTACAGTTAAAAACGGGCTGCTCTGGTACAGTTGCGTAATTTCAATCCTAAGCCATTTCTACCGGTTAGACATTCACAAAACAAGTCTAATCCTTTTTAAAAATCTTATTAACGATAGATGATAATCGCTAAAACTGTCACAAAAAAGCGGTCAGTTGGATTTTAAAGATGCTGATCTGACCTTTCATTAGCAAGATATTTCCATGCTGCAACATGTGAATTTGGAACAATCTGAAAAAAATCAGATATGGATCCATTGACAGGAATTTTCTATTAGGGGTAGAACAGACAGATACAGCTAGACGACCTTGCTTAATAGGCAGACTCAGAACCGAGAGGTCGAGGACTTGAACTCGGATAAGGTCACTGGTTTCAGTTTATTCTGAGGTAGAAAAATGAGTACCATACAGTGCGAAGGAAACAGCAGACCACACGCTATGCTTGCCACATGGTTGTAGATTGTCTTTACAATAACGCACTTCTGCCTTGGCTTAGAAACGGTGATCAGCTCTGCATCATCAGCTTTATAAATTGAAGGGTGGCACAAACGGTCCTCAGTTAATCAATATCCCAACGGTTATAAACTTTCGTTTCCTTTGCTACAGAGATTATCAAGGAAGAAGAAAAGGTT